CACCGAATGGTTGTATTCCTTACACCATCGAAATGACAAGGTCGTAGACCAGTAAAAAAGGTGAGGCTGCATTGATCTTGTTTGTGGAGACATCCAACGGGTCTAGAAATTACTAGAGAAAAAGGGCCTGTTCCGCTGAAGGAGGCACACTCGCTAATGCATTCTGAAAAGCCACCCTTTCCTTTTTTCACATTTCTTCTGCATTTGAAAACATCAGTTAATGAGATTTATTAACATTTCCACACACCAGCATTGCAATCAATTTAATTATGGAATTTGTAAAAGAATGTTTGGAATAACACAAATATTCTTCACGTTAACTTTTTCTGCCTATGCAAATTGACTTTCTTCACTTAACAGTGTCCTTCGTCTCCTCTGAAATGGTTCTGAATATATTGTAAAGCAATAGAAATAATAATAGCAATATTTTATACAAACAAAATCGCAGAAAATTGGCAAGACCAAAATAAATACAAATTTACCATTGACACGATTTATGCGTAGGAAAATACACAATACACAAGTGCATACGAAATGCATCTTGCTTAACCTGTGCCATAAGTTATTCCTTAGTTGTAAAAGTAGTTATTATCGTATAATTTTTTCGTTAATTATTTTTAGGAAATGTTGTGAATTGTTTCAAAAACATCTGTCTACAATACTAAATAAACCTTTATTAAAAATTTGTTGCAAATATTATATTTTTAATTTTTGTAGGTACATTGGAAGTTATCTTTATGAATTTTTTAAACAAACACGTTTCATTAACAACTTTGCCCATTTTATGGAAATGAAAGGATGGGGAAAAGGGTGTGGTTCAGCATGAGAGATTTCTCGCATGGGTTCACTAGTACTTACATAAAGTTCCAGATAAATGTGTTGTTTTTTTACAGTAAAGCTCTTTTGCGGGCTCCTGATACTAAAAAATTATATTTTTCTTACCGCAATATGCAGTGAATTACTTCCTCTAACTGTGTGTTGTCGAACTACCAATTTCATGGATCAATCCTGAAAAATTGTTTTACGTCAAAGCATCTGTTCGTCTGTCAACAGCGCCTAAACCGCTCACAGTATTTTCACAAAACTGACGGTCCTCGACCGATCTGGCTAATGTTGCGTTCGCTTGAATTTCAAACTATATTTTTAGTTTTGTCAATACTGCAATGAAGCTTCAAAGATAGGTTCAAAATTTTCTCAAAATGGCAAAATTTTATATTTTTTTCGATTGTAGCAAAATACTGATATAGAAATGAAGGCAGTTCGATTTTTATTGAAATATCTAACTCTTCGAAAATGCAGTACTTAAAATGTTTTCACGTTTTATTTTTGCATGTTAAGTAGTGCTATAATGTTACGTAATTTTTACAAATAATGTTAGAAATACTTTCATGTTTTAAAATTCTGAACGTGGTGGAAGGGGGCTTGGCCTCATGCCCATGAATTCCTTTCTCATTGGTTGTAATCCTTTTCATGTTTAGTGTGAATTTTCTCGAATAGTACATTACACAATTATTTTTGCCGGAACTGAATGTAAATATTTTCTTCAATGAAACGAAAAACGCGTCCCTACTTGATTATTTTTATTATAGTTCGCTGCCTGACATCATTTAAATGATATTTGCTGGAGTGAAATTGTCGAGACAGCCTATAATCTTTCTGTCTCATCGCAGTATTATTTTTTCTGAAACCTATTTTTCGGTTTTTATATTCACTTTTTCTTCAATGGATGCAAAAAGTATATTTTGTGCTTTTTCTTCCCACAGATTTATTTACTAGAGGCATTGATGTGCAAGCAGTGAATGTGGTCATTAATTTTGATTTTCCGAAGATGGCTGAAACTTACCTACATCGCATTGGACGCTCTGGCAGATTTGGTCACTTGGGTATAGCAATTAATTTGATAACGTACGAAGATAGATTTGCCTTGCATCGTATTGAACAGGAATTGGGCACTGAAATAAAGCCTATTCCGAAGGTAAGCCGTGTTATGTGTAATGCAAATGTATTCTTTTATTTTCTAGTGGTAGAGTGAGCATATGCAGAAATGTCGACTTTCTTCGTTCAGCAATAAGATTGTTATAGGCAAAACGCATGCGTGTGATGCATTTTGTACAACATATTGGTAATATCGATGTTTCCTGAGGAAAGTTATAAAATATAACATTGTTGCATATTGTTAATATGTCAAGAACTGTTGTACTGTGTATCCGCGTGTACTATGTTACTGTAGTATTTGTGCGACTGAATTAAAAACATGGCCTCACAAAATAAAAATAAAAATTGTCAGACCCACAGACTTGACAGCTTTTTCTGTATGCCAGGATTGCGCCATCACCTTCCATTTATTAATTTTTTAATCACGAAAAAAAACACATCATGGAATTTACAGTTTGCAATTTCATGGTGGTTTTTCACGATTTAAAAAAAACTGAAGAATGATGGCGCAATTCTGGCTTCACATTCGGATTCAGCGTGTTGACATACATAGTGAAACATGTTAAGTCTTGAGGTATGACAACTTCGTGCCTGTGTAATTTATTGCAGTATGCGTGTAGTACGTACGTATTTGTGTGCGTTTTGGGAACAAATTTTTTGTGGTTCAGCAGCATTTTTGCTTCTGCAGGCCACTAGCAGTATATTACATGTACAGAACAACAGTTCTTTACATGTTAAAAATATCAGAAAAGTTGCAGTGCCTTGACCCAACATGTGAATAGCAAATACTTAAGGTCTGGCGGCCTCTTCCTTGGAGCCTTGTACTCGCATGACGTTAGCTGCATTGTAAGCAGTGACACTCTAAGTATGAGAATTTAGTCAAAATTGAGACTTAAATCGTTTAAATGTCTAGTAGTTCTTGAGTTTGGGACAATATAATAAAATACAATATAATGACAACTTTACATTGCCAAACATTTGGCCTTCATCAGGGCTACAGAACAGATACAACATTGTATATATATACAAGAATGTGTAATGAATATTTCATTACAGCTAAAATACAATTTTAGTTGGTTGACAGAAGTTGGATGAAGGCCAAATATATGGTCAAAAAATCGACAATGTAAAGTTGTATTGTATTAGTCTATTGACCCAAACTCGAGAACCACTTGACATAATTACAACGGGTCAAAAATCTTTAAATATTATTACATTGTTTTTGGAACTTTTTAGGATTCCTGGGTATCTAACTAAACGATAGTCACCCCTTAAACACATGGAGGCTCCATAGTTTTCTCTCAATTTCCGTAGACATGAAAATGTGTAATACAACTACTTTTACAAATAAAATGTTGAATTTAATTATTTGATGAGTAAATTACTCTGATTTGTGGGGAATTATGTGTTGCTTATTTAGTTAGTTTTTAGTTTATTTTAAAAGATTAATTTCTAATAAATTTTACTGTGTATATTAGGGCAATATTAAATTTTATTCACAACCTATTTACATATTTTCAACCAATCATGTCTTAGATATGATCAGTTAAGCAAAAAATACATTTCAATTGTAAAAATATTGATAATTTTTTTATACTTTACCAAGAAGTTCGTTGTTAAAAGTAATATCTTGTCTGCTGCATCTGGTTCAAGAGTACAATAACATTAAGTACATATCGACCCACGGAATCTGTAGTTTTGTCAATCAAAACTATTGGCTTATCTTCGATAATGTTTCTAATTATTGATGATTTTTTATAACATTAACACTGGTAATTTGTAGTGTGGATTTACCTGGGATGCTATCATCTGTAATTCTCTCATGAACGTTGTAATTTTGGATTATTTAATTTGTTAAATTCGAATATTCACACTCGCCATAACTTCAGAGGTCCTTGATAAAAGTAAATTTGTTGGATATAGCACTGGTACTTAGCACCCAAGAAGCTGAGAATACTTTTTTTTGTCCCTTTGCATTTGCCACAGCTTTTGCACGTTTTTCTCGTCCATTATGCTACTGCGCGACAAACCTTTTATCTGCACTTTATTTTATGTCACATAACTTGCAAAAGAAGACAGTTCCATCCGTTGTAAAAATAAATTATCCAAATTCATTCACTAAGTTTTGCTGAGTTTTGCTTTCGGCAGCTTCAATACAGTAGGGTTTAAGCATTACACGCTGAAGACATAGCGTTTCTCACAGTGAACATCTCAAGGTGTTGGATATGTGACTAATGTAATCGAGGCTTCTTCCTTTCATTCAAGTGAACTCAGCTTGCAAACTTTTGGTTTGGACTGTTCTTTGTCCTGGAAATCTCCCTCTTTAGTAATCGTGAAATCACCCAAACTGAAAATGGCGCTAATAAGCGTGTTCATGATGAGAAGACATCTTTATATCACAGAAAGCTGAGATTACATACAACTGCAACAAATTGAATATGCTACTCAGAAATTCTGTGAAGAATATTTTTTCCATCTTAAATATTATTTGAAGCAAGAACCATTAAAATATTAAAACGACAAAATTAGTGAAAATGCTTTAAAAATTACGGTAAAGGTAAAAAAACAACTTCTTAATCAAAATTACGAAAAATGCAAATGAAGTTATATAAAAATAGGTCATTTCTTTTTGTCATATAAAATGATGTATACCATAACGCAGTGTTCTAAAGTGAAAAGGAGAAAAAAAAACATTCATTGAAATCCGCCATCCGGTTTCCGTAGTATTCAAATGCCATGAGTAATTAGTTTTCCCCTACTTGGAGGAAAGTAATTTTTTCCCCAGATTTTGTCTTCTAGGGAGATTAATAGAGTAGGTTCATTCTTAGAGTGAGAGAGCATAGTAGCTGATGAATGGTTTACCACGACTCGGCAATACCTGAAAACATTTACCTTGTGAAACTTTTCCCAAGGACTGACTAGTAAGAGAGATTAAGATGTGTAAAGGAAATGTGTTTGGTAATAATAAAGATTATAGATGTCAAAAGAGTTCCATTGATACCTGTGTCTTTATATCTAATTCTTTTTTCACTCAGTGTGATAATTCAGTGTTTGTTTTCCAACAGGTAATTGATCCATCCTTATATGTGGCAAAAATAGAAGAATCCCAAGAAGCTGAAGACATCAACCTGAGCAAATAAGTGCCGATTTTGTGATTCTTCATCTCTTTGTATTTGTTTATGATGAACTAAATAATTTAATGAATTTTAATTTATATATATAATGTGAAAGAGTAAACAACAGTTTCGTATGTCACTGTAAATAACGCCAATCAAGTCGGCCATTTTCACTACATGTGTGGGTATGTGGTCTGTTGGTGAATACAGAGGAATTGTGAAACTTTATCCTCTAAGAACAATATTTTGCGTGTGTGTGTGTGAGAAAGAGAGAGAGGTGGTGTGTACACAAGCAGGTGCATGCATATGCAGGAATGTACACATCTGTTGTAGGTGTGTGTGCATAGACGAATTAGTGTACGTGTGTGCACATACAAGAATCGTTTCCCATATTTGTGGAAATAAATATGGTCACAGGTGTGAGTTACTTCATCTTAGATTTTTATACAATTTGTATAGGAAATGAAAATTGGAGGAGTTGACATTTCAGTGTTTGTAAACTGTAATTCATGTAGCTTTACAGTACCTATTGTATCGGGTGTTTTTTTCCTTCTTAAGTTTCCTGCCTTTCCATTTGTTTGTGTGTGCGCGAGTATGGATGTGCGGATGTGTGTGTGGATCCACGTGCGTATGTTGTCTGTGTGTCTCACCTTTCTTTCCTGTTTAATGGACACTTCTGTAAAATTTTAAAGATTATTTTGCAGATTTTGAACATCCTTTTGTAAATCATGTTGGTCTTGTGTGTTCAAAATCTTCCCAAACTTGGAAATTGCAGTAGTTTGGAAATTTATTTTTATAAAACTTCCAGAAGTGTAGGATATTTATGTGAAATTTGGTCTTAAGAAGTTTTGTTTTGAAGATGTTGCTGTTGCACATTATGAAATGAAATCTTATGGATCTCTGTAAGCAGTAACAATTAGAATTTTCAATTCTGCAAATTCTAAATTTTTTGATCAAAGATTTTTTTTTTTTAACTTTTCATGAATGGATTTCATATATTATTTACATGGAACTCACTGGTAAATCAAATTGATATTAATATTTTATAAACAATATTGTAAAATAATTATAAACACAATCATTGAATTAATGCCATCTAAATTCAATGACTTTTCAAGGCGTGTGGGATTTTGCCCACTCGTTCACAATCATGTAAAATGCTTTTGTTAGAAGTTCTGACACATCTTTTAATTGACATTTTGTAATTAATCTATTTTTTGATGATAAGAATGAAAGGCATGTGCCTAACATGTATTTCAGTTCTAGACATTATTTTATCTGTTTTGTAAATAATTTAATTTTGAATGAACTTGGCAGTGTTTAAGAAGACCAGTAAAATGGTGAAGGATGTTGAGAGATCCATAAAATATGAGGAATTTCAGCTCTCCTCAAACCAGTGGGTTATTAAGAAATGCATTCCTACAGGTAAAAGAGCTGAAAAAATCCTCTTGCTAAGAATAGCAAGAGATTTCATAAAGTATTCCTAATTATGTAGATTCGACATGCAGCTATATGACCATCGCCCTTGTGCTTGGTAAAATGAATTCTTGAAATTGAACATTATTGAGCAGTTTCTTTTCATTAAATTTTTACTTTAATATTTTTCAACTGAGAAGGCTTTCAGTGTGATAAATGAAAAAATGTATTGAATAGTTCAACATGGAAGCACATTAATTATTTCAAGCTGCGAAAAATTTTAAAAGGAACTATTTAAATTAATTTACCGATTATGTAATGTGAAGATAACATAAAAACATGTTAATTATTTTGTTAAAAATTACTTGGTTCAGTTTAATTCACAACAAAATTAAGAAATTTTCAATTCGACTATTTTGATTTTGTGCTAAATTTGTTTTCTGAATAAACGATTTCGTCATTGAATGTGAATATTTCTATTTCTCAGTAATTTCTCCTTTATTCCAAGACCTTAACCATGTATTACGTTGACTTCTCATATTGAGTGCACTTAGAAATGTCGGGCGGCGACCCACAGAACAGGTTCGCCCAGCGGGATACTGAATAGTCACTGCGAGACCACGTTTGCGAACTGACGAGATCTCTTGCTGGATGCGCGGCCGCTGCGGCGCGGCGAGAGGCACCTGCTCACCGCAGCGACCCTGCCACCATGGATGACAGCAGTCAACCCCAGGACGGGGCCGCTGCTGTGGACGTCGTTCTGGCGGTCATGAATAGGGCCTCCATTGGTGTGCGGCAAGCTACTGGTGACGCGAGTGTCGCGGCCGAGAGCGAGGCGCACAAATGGCGTGAAGAGCGACGCCTAGACAACGTTCCGGGACCCGCCACTGCTTCAGTAATGCAACTCCCTCCCCCTTCTTCGCCTCGTAACGAATAACCAGCTAGCCCCGTCCCATCCTCGACGCAAACTGCTTAAACCTAAATGTAGACACTTGTTCAGTTTGTCGTCACCACGTAGCAGTACCAAAATAAGCCAAAATTACTTTACTAATAAGTCTGAACAAGTAGTCCGATTTTCAATCGGTAAACGGCATTCGATTTGTATAGAATTTACGCTACGAAACACCTTTGAAAAAATAATGGAAAAATGAGTTTTGGAATAGTTCCGGGTATAAATTCAAAAATGTGTGCTTATAGCGCGATGGTGGAGAGCTTCCTGAATCCAAAGACGTATCAATCGTCCAAATCGGATGAGTAGTCGTAAAGTGAAATTTGGCAAAATACAATGCCCCCATGCCGCGCCGCCACCAGAGAGTATAGCGCGTGGGCTCGCCGCCCCTTGGCTCCAAGGGGCACGGAAGTATTTCGTAGGAGGAATGAGCTGGTGCGAGGCAGACAAGCTGGCGGTTCTCATGTGGCCCGACTGGGATTCGTCAAATAAAGCTTTCGCTATTTTCCGCATCACAAAATTAGTTTTACTTTCTCGTGTTTGCATGGAGAAATATACGTAGTTTAGAGAAATGATGTAATGCCGTGGGAAAATAATTTCCTGATTTCAACGGAAATACATGTTGTGGGGCCCTCTGATACGGAATAGTCAACTCCCCCTTAATCCGTCGGTCTGTCGTACAATCTATGAACAACACTAGCGCCTAAACTATTCCTAGAATTTTTTCGAAAATGAGTTTTCTCCGGTCGACCTGGCCTGTCTCAAGCTTGCGAGTTTGAAAAAGATGCTTTAAAATTTCGGGATACATTGAATGAAGCCCCTGAGACGTTTACTAAATTTTCTTAAAAATAGTTCGAAATATGTTTTAAGAATAGATTGAAATACGCTTCTAAAGAAGGCGTAGGTCCGAATTTTACTGTTAACTTTAAATTTTTGAAAGTTAGAAAAGTTTACATTTTTCTCGGCGTCTCCTCGCATCTACAGTATTGTAGGTAGAGATTTTTCTTTAAATTAAACTTGTTTTCCCTAATTAGTTTTTCATTAACGTCATGCACATTTTTGAAACTTTTACTTTTCGTGGATTAATGCGTAAAATAAGTGCATTACAAAAAAATTCGGAAACAATTTCTGAAATGGCTCCAATTTTTCTTCATTCTTCAACTTTTGGTAGGGATACTGCTAATTGTACTGTATAAAATGACATAAATTCCGTATTGATGTATTCTTTTGTTTTTTCTAAAGTAATTCAATCAATTTCAATTGTAATTTTTTGACATTTGTTTTCGCGTAATTATATTTACATAACCGCAGATGTCTATACATTTCATTTGTGAACTCATGCTTGAAATAGTCTCATAAAGTTCCCCGAAAACTCAAAAGTATTCTGAGAAACTGAGCTCGCATTTCTGAATTTCAGAAACAATTTAAACGCCAGATTCTTAAAATTTTTCAACGAAAATTTCGATATATGGCAAAGTTTTACTCTTCTATAGTATTAAAGTCATGTTTCGGTTGTATCATTAGGAGACCGAAAATTTGAAAGAATGATCTTTAGGTGTCAATGGATGGCAGCTGGGAAGAGGGTGTAGCAAAACCGGAAATATGTCCCAGAAGAAAGAAATTACGAAACGAACTAGTTCGCAAAAGTGTGTGCCATTCTGAAGCATTACTAGTTTATTTTATTTCACAAATCATACTACTGGTCCTACAATTGAGAGAGACAGCGCAATAGTGGCCTATCCCACATTTTTAGGAAATTGCGTTCTCTGTGTTAATCACATCTTAATCTCCCTAATTTCAACGTGTAACAGTTTCAGCATGTTCGCGTCGATAGTTTTCAAGTTATAATTACAAAAAGAACTATTGCACTCAGCTTACGATTACATTTCTTTGTGCAATAGTGGCCTAAGCATAGGCGATGCTGTTTTACACAAGATGTAATCCACCACAAATGTTTAGTCAGTGGTCATTCTTACATAATATCATAATATGAAAACACAAATGAGTGTTTAATTTTGCCAATAACTTCATCAGCCATTTTCTCCAAACCCAGCATCTGGGGATATGCCACTATTGCGCTGACACCCTCAATTGAGACAAACGTTCTAGTATCTTCTGTAACCGAAGTATAGAACAGAATTTATCTTGGAAAAATTGCGTGATTCCAAATAATTCCACATTTTAATTCAGTCATCCTTCGAACAAGTCCCGTAAACTGAGGTGTCTTGGTGGCTCAAGAATGATCAGTAGCAGCGATAGCGGAGGTGGAGCGGGAAGTATAAAGCGAAAAAGAGCAGCGAGCCAATCAGTATTAGTGAACTTTGTATGGGCATTTGCAAACTCGCCTGTTTGCGAACCACAGTTCAAGTGCCGCGTCGGATTTGGAATTCCCGGGCTTCCTCATAAGGTCCGTAAATGAGTTTAATTCTAAAAAAATTGAAATTAAGCCAAAATTTGTTAAGCAAAAAAGTGTCGCTCATTTGACCCTGCTATAAACATTCGGCTACCTTGACATCAAGTTAGCACCGCAATTACCAAGAAATTAGAGATAAATATATTTGTTGCTCATTACCCGAAAAAGAATTTTTGTTGCTCTTCAACTAATACCGAAAATGCAAAATTTCGCCAAAATACTGGAAATACGAAAATTTGCATCTTTGCAGCGGGTGATGGTGAAGAGACGACTGCTCGTCCCTTACAGGTTCCACGCAACAATAACCTACACCGTGGTTTTAACAATCGACAGATTAAATCAGACGCTCAGAATAATTTTATTTTCGGCCTCACATGAAAAGATGAAATTTCACAATTATTATAATTGTAGGAGAATCAGATTTCGAAGTGACGATAGCAGTTTTATGAATTATAAAGGACGAGTATATACATTTTACTTCCGTTTTACTCCGGTAAGTCATACACATTATGTATGTATGACGGAGCCCTTTTATCGCGCCCTTTTCAAACATTCAATTTCTCTGCGCGTCCAAGCGCCGTGGAGTGTTGGGCCTTGCAGCTGCTAAGGAAGGATTCTCACAGCTGTTGCTTCACTAGGGCGGGCGTCATTGCTCCGATCAGCCTGTCCCCGTTCAAAAATATTTTTATTCCCGCAGTCTTACACGTGTACATACTGCCATTGTCCGAAAAGAAAAACTCGTAAAATTGTCATTGCGCCCTCCGCGATTTGGAGAAGGAGGGTAGCTAAGACAACAATGCAAAAGGATTGTAAATCCACCATAAATTTAATTTCAAAATTTTAATATTCAAAATTCGCCCAAACATCGCACAAAATCCACCTGGTTTAGGAATCTCCAACATATTCATATGATGATTTGATTTGACAATGACAGCGCACTATTTTACCACTTTTTCAAATTTGTCCGAAAGTACGAAAACATTTTTAACATTAGCATCACCTATTTTACTTGGGAAGAGAGATTCACAAGGTGAATTCTATCAAGGATACAAACGTTTTGAAATCAATCTCTGCTCATTCTTTTCGGTAGTGGAATGATAACGGAAGATCTTAGAAGTAAAATATATCTCAAATAAGAAGTATGGAGATGGAATGTTGGTGATATTTACACAATTAGTTCAATTTTCTTTTTGAAATCAGTTCCAAATCGGAATCGATATTTTGAGTACTGCCTCAAACAATTTTGTGACTGTATTCAAAGGAAGACGGAAATATGTGAACAAGATAAATAGTTTTATATTATTACAGATGATACGAGACCTTTGCTTCTGTTACAGCATCACTAGTTTGATATGTGAGGGAAATATATTGCGATGCTAAGTGACGAAAGCATAAACCAACTGCCTATCCCGCAAGTTTGGCCTCCTCCGCCGGGGCTGGCCGTGTCATAGAGTGATGAACTGCCTCTTTAGTCTATTGCTAATAGTAAAGTCATTTTAAATCAAGTTTATATTTAATCTAAAAATGGCTAATCGTATTTTCGTGAAATATGTGCGAGTACTGCGCTTGAACCAGTTCAAGCTCCAGAACCAGCCTCTGATAAAAATAATATAACCAAATCAGTTTTCAATTATTAAGTGTTATCTGTGACTAATACATTTGAATGATTGTGCCCTATGGACTCAAAACTACTCGCCCGATTTAGCTGAACATTTCTGTTGTTCTTACAGGAAATAATACTTATGATGTGGCATGTCGAAATCTGCCCTTTTTTTTCGTCGAAAGTATTCTTTTTATCTCAGCAACAAAATTTTGTTTGTCGATGCACACTAGTCAGTTTAAAAAAAATTGAATTTGCCGAATTGGTTCTGTGCTTTTGCCAGAGCAAATATGGCCAAACTTGCGAAACAAATAATCCGTCATCGCGCTCTCTTGTGAGTCACGCCACCTCTCGCCGCGAGCTGTGGACTCGTCCAGTGAGGGGTGGAGGAGGCAGCTGTCCTTTTAACAGCGATATTTATAATAATAAATTAGTCAAAACTACTTAATCGTTTTTTCTGAATTCTAGTTTTATGTATTGTTATTTGTCGTAAGAAGAACATCATAATAACCCTTGCCGC